AGTTTGATAAACAGGGTTGTTCTTAACCTCTTGTTGGAACAGATGGGTAGCTGAAACCTAAGGCAATAATGAGGATTTCTTTTCTTTTTGCAAGTTGACATTCTCTCCCTTGCTCATTTTTTGTTTCTTTTCTCAAAGGAATACTTACTGCAATATTTCCACCTTTCATGTAAGAAAGGCATGTATTTAATTGTGACTGTTGTGTGATGAACTCAATGACAAAAGATGTGTGGTATCTTTGGACACAAGGAAGTTTGTATCATGTTCGCAATTTATTTTTTATAGCTGGTCACATCCTTATACCTATTATTGAAAACCATGGCTTAAATGTTTTATATATGAGATGTAAGATCAGTATTCTTTTTATTGAAGATTTTACAAATTCCTTTAAAAGAAACCTTATAAATTCCTTAAAAAACGTGTTCATATTGTATTGAGTTCAAATTTCTCATCCTTGGAGATTTTGGGGGCAGTTATTCCTCTCTTTTTGGCATGTTCTATTTTTTGTGTGCACTCATAAATCATAATCTTCCTAACACCAGCTGATAGGATTTTGTTTTCCTCTTGAGGCATTGGGTGCCCTCATAAGCCCTGTCTTCAGGCTGGTGCTTCAAAGAAATCAGTTCCCCTTCGATCATAATGAGGATTATTCTACTCTGAGGAGGCATCTTGATTCAAATTTCCATTTGGAAACTTTTATATTCTGTTGCACAAAGGCATCTAACCATTATCCTTTGCAATTCCTTAATCAGATGGTATACACTTATACAGAATTGATTACTGTACCCCCCAGCTTTTCCTGGTAGACAGGTAAGAGTTTATGGGCACCACTTCTGAATTAGGTGGCTGGAAGTCAGCAGTGGGGAGAGGGAAGGCCCATGGGGCATGCTGCACACCCTGGGAAGTGATCCATTGTTTCAGGGAGTAACTGATCTGTAATTATGGCTCCACAGGTCAAGGGATGAGCTTTATCTCATGTTCCCCAGGCACTGGTGACTGAGGGGGTCACCCCTGCCCGTGTCTGGGGCGTGTGGGGAGAGCTGGGAGGTGACGTGCCTGCCCTGCCCCTGGGCAGCTCTCGCTCCTGCCTTCCCCCCTGGGGTTCCCTTCTCTGGGTTTATCACGGGCTGAGGGGTGCCTTGTGCACAAGGTGGCTCTCAGGCTCCAAGCTGGAGGGGTCAGGTCTTTCTCTGGGCACCACGTGCTGGTTGCTTTGAATCTTCTTGGTGTTCATCTCCAAAGGTTTTTATTTGTCTTCATTTTGTGCTATCTTACTGAAAGCAAGGAAATTTTCTCCTTGACAGACTTAAGTAAGCAAGGGCTTTTTGGATTTGTGGGTTTATTCTCTCCAGGCAACCTTAAGCTTTATAGGCTCTATTGTTGATCAAAGACTATTTTAAATTTTTTTTAATGCCCTGGAGTACATTTCCTTGAAACATCAAGATTGCAAATTCTTAGTTTTGCAAAACACCATTTGGAAAAACTCTTATTTCTTTATCAGGATCAGTCTTGTACATAAATTCAGTGTGTGAGTGGCAATTACTTTTCTGAAGAGATAGTCACATTCAAAGAAATTAAAAATATTGTATGAAAAATGCATATAGATGTATCAGAACCCCTTAATTAGCAATAATGTGTTTTTAGCCCATGAAGGATTTCTAAGGGCCATGCTTTTTTCAGCCTTGTTGAGACTGAGCAATCTCTGTGACAATTCTGTTGAAATCCCTGAAATAACTTTCAGAGTTAGGATCTACTTAAGTGACTGAGATGACAGAGCCTGACATTTAGGATAAGATCCAGAGCCTATTGGTGCTCATAAGAATTTTAGTATGTACTTCTCTGGTGGCTTCATATCAGCTTGCTTTGACTTGTGATGTTTGTGGAAGTAAATGTGGAGGAGATGAGTGCATTTCTTTGACTAAAAGTTGTTATTAAATATGTTTTCCTTTTTTTCAGTATTTTATTAGGAATTGTATTTTTTATGCTATTGAAATGATATCTGATTTTATACAGGTACATCTGTTTAGAATGAATTTATTTTTATAATTTAAGGGTTTTTTTCAGAATTTATTTTAGTCAGCGTTGTTATTGAATAAGTCTCACCCAAATTCTTCACTATTTGTGGACTAAGTAGAAAAAAAACCCATCAGGTAAGGCACTGAACTGCTTGTATAAACAGTTCTTGAGAAAACTATATCTATTTTGAGTTCCCAGTAGACATTTTAAATTAGCATGAAAAGCAAGATTATTATGGTTTTGGGTACTTTGATGATGTAAGCTCCCAAGACAATGAATCCCTTGTTCTCAAAGCTTTTTCTAAGATTCCCTCACTGCATAAAATACATGATCATCTCTCTTCCCTTTCTTACCCTTCCCTTCAAACCATTTGAATTCAGAGTAGGCAGATCTTATGCTACAGATGCTATAACACTTAAAATGGATAAATTATAGTATATGGAACATATAGAAATTATGGTGAATCATTGAAAATATGTCCAGCCAGAGGATTAGTTTGTGTATCAAAAAATTTTTTAAAGAATCATGACAAATATGATACTGAGGATTTAAACCAGCTGACAGCAGTAAGAATTTGACCCTCTTCTAGTAAACCATCCTGAATTTAGGGTGCTGTCCATCTGTTCAATGCACTTGAGGGCTGTGCCCTTTAGTGACCCAACTTCATCAAGAAGATGCAGATTAGTTTTGATTTTTCCCAACCCAAAGCTGACTCTGTTAGCTTGATGACTTAAAAAGCTTTTTTTTTTAATTTTGAATAGTAATATAGCACTTAAAAGGAGGTTGATCTTTTTGATGCTTACCACTCACTTTGCTTAGGAGATCCCAGAAGGATGTACTAGAAGGGAAGCAGTGCAAAAGTGCAATGTCCCTTTCCTCTCCCCCCTTTACAAAGGGGTGCTGATCTCCTTAACCTAACTCAGAAGCCTAGATTAGCCTCCCAGTTTCATGGTATACATCCTTCTGATCTAAGTACCTTTGAACTTTTTGTAAGGATTTTGGTCATTTGTTCAATGTCTTTATTCTTTCTTGCAGGATTTTCTTTGAAATAAGGATTTTAGAAAACCTCTATTATTGTGGCAGTTTTCACTGAAGCTATTTAAATTTTGCAATACTCCAGCCTTCAGCATCTGGTTTTCAAACTCTGTTGGATCAGGCTGGAAACAGACATCTGAAGTGACTGTTTAGCAAAATAATAATTTTTTTTCCCAGTGGTCCAGAGTGAAAAATATGTAAATATAAATAAAATGAGCTCATTTGGAAGGCACTGAGCTTTAATGAATAACCATTTATATAAGAGCAAAATAAAGCAAATTAAAATTCCTTGTGAACACAAGCTCTTTTAAAAGAACAAATTAAATGAACATATTGAGAGCTATATCATGACACTGGAGGCTTTAATAAGCCAGATCTCTGCACGAGAGGTGCTGAATAAAAGAGGAATCAAATAAGATGTTCACAGAATTGGCATACAAGTATTCTTATTTCTAGCATAACACTATCCAGCCTAATAAATAACAACACTCTGAGTTTGAAATCCTACTCTAGCACATTACTTGAGATGAAACAGTGAGGAAAATTAATCTGTTGCCCATAAACCCTGTGCACAAATTTCCCCAGAAATGGCAGGGTTTCATTGGAGGGTTTGTTTGTTGGTGCTGCATCTATATCTGGAAATTAGCATCAAACTGAATGTTTTTCTTCTCTACAAGGCTGGATGGTTTTAAAGGGGGAAAAACACCAAGAAGAAAATATTGCAAATATCTGCTTTGTTGCTTTGGGTCTTCCTTCCTTCCTTCCTTCCTTCCTTCCTTCCTTCCTTCCTTCCTTCCTTCCTTCCTTCCTTCCTTCCTTCCTTCCTTCCTTCCTTCCTTCCTTCCTTCCTTCCTTCCTTCCTTCCTTCCTTCCTTCCTTCCTTCCTTCCATCAGTCTGAGCAATATAAGTCCATAGTTAATGGAATTTATGGACAGCAGTTGTACACCTGTATGAATCTAGATTTTATGTGAGAATTATTTTCTCTCCAGTATCTGGAATGCTAAGTGTATTAATTTTGGCTAAATTTATGTAAATGGTAGGTTTTCTTGCATATCATGAAAACAAAGATGTGTTTCAAGTCCTTTTTCACAAGTAAATACAAGCATGTACCAGCTAATGTGAACAGGGGGCTGAACCAGACACCTCCTGAGGTCTCTTCCAACTTCATTTTATTTTGTGGTGCTGTGAAAGCAAGAACAGGATACTTGCAGGCTGGCACAAAAAAAAATCTTTACAGAAACTTTGGCAGAATTTTATATAATGAGGAAAATAGGCAGCTTCGTGAAATTCATAAGAGATATTGGGATTGTTATCCAATTTAGATAATAAGCAATAGGTATTTTGATGTTCCATGCTATGGAAAATATTTTGATGGATAAATTGAATATTAATTTTAAAAATTCAACTTGTGTTAATTCCTATATCTCTCGTGCTTATGTTTTTTTCCTTTGACATGTTATAAAAAAATTGGCAAACAAATGTCAGACAATTAGTAACCACCCACCTAAGCTGAATGGTACAAAAGACATTTATGTGATGCTTAATCATATTTTATGTTAGCACTAATAAATCCTCTCATGAGCATTTGAGACAGGGTAGTCAGGACTTTCCTCCAACTGTGGAAGTCTTCATTTTGGAAAAAGAGCAAGGGAAAATCTGCTCTAACCTGCAGTGAAGTTTTTGCACAATCTGGATGTGAAACAATTCACTTGTTTCACGGACTCAAATCTCAAGTCCAGTAGATAGATCTATTTTATATGAATAAATGAGATAAACTGGCAGAACTTGTGGAAATCACAGTGCATTTGTGCAGCCCTCTTTGAAAGCCTCTGCAGCACACCTTTCCACCAAAAACTTCACACTGGTTCTACACTGTGGTTGTCACTTCATACAGGCCAGTCCTTAAATTGATTGCATTGCTAATTTTTCATTTTCTGTCCTTTAACAGCTGGAAACAATGAAAGTGATGGCCAAGAAGCGGTGCGGAAAATAAAAGAAGAAACTTTGACTGGAAAAGGTACCATACTATACAATTTCCTTTAAGGAACCATTTTCCCTCTCTTTTTGCTGTCATCCATCTCCTTTTATATGAGGACCCCTTGTGTAATGCTGAATTTTTTTTTTTTTAAATTTGGGGCACTGGAACAGGTTTCCCAGAGCAGTTGTAGATGGCTCCTCCCTGGCAGTGTTCAAGGCCAGATTGGATGGAGCACTGAGCAAACTGTGGAAGGTGGAGTGGAAGGTGTCCCTGCCCCTGGCAGGAGGTTTGGAACTAGATGCTCTTTAAGGTCCTTTTTTCCCCAAATGGTTCTGTGATTCTATGAACTGAATTCCAGAAATAAATCTGATTCAGGGGTAAAATGCATAGGATATTTCTTAAAAAATGTTTTCAGCCTGGTTTGACTTTACTGTTTGTCATTGAAAAAGGGTGGCCTGCAAGTTTCAGTCTGCCTGCATATGTGTATGTGCATGATTTAATAGATGGGAAAAAATTCAGAATACCAGTAATTTTTGCTAAGGGGAGGGTGACAGCAGGTAAGAGTGTGTCCTCTTTTAATTTGCTTGTTTTAGGAATTAACAGGTTTTTGAAAGATCAAGGCTACTTGATTGGGTCATTTGGCACATGTTAAGAGCTTATAATACTTCACAAAGTAAAACCATGCTCTTAAATATAAATAGACCTTTCATATCAAGCCTAAATTCCTACCTTTCTGTGGTTCTTCTCTTATTTCCTTTACCTGATGGTCTATCATGTTTGTAGAGGTATAAGGACAGCACAGCTTGATAACTCAGAGAAAAGGCACATTCCACACTACCTGCTCTGTGATTGCCATTTGCAGCTCATGGTGGAGGTTAGTGCAGCTCACATTTTTGTCCCTGGGTGTCACTGGGTGTAGTTCCTAATGGTGCATGATGATTCATTCCTGCCACTTTGACACATAATTTCTTGGCAAAATAATAGAGCAGTGTTGCTAGTCCGACCTATTTGGGATCTTCATGGCTTCTTCTGAGATCTGATTCTGTTTTTGTACCTCTAATAATTACTGTTATGATGATCAAAATACATGTTAATTATTGTGTTAAAAAACCCTTTCATTATGATTTATCTTTTGACTTAAATAAATGTGCATCCATTATAGCCCTAGGATACATGTATGCTAGTTAAAAGCATCATACATTAAGGCATAGTTAGAAGGATCATGAAAGGAAAAAGGTAATTATTGCATCATTAAAGTCTTTTGCTGGAAGTTTCTGTGCAGAGACCAAAACCAGTTGGAATTAACAATGTCATGTGACTTGGATGAATCTGAGTAAACCAGGGTCTGTTATTTTCTCCCCTTGTGTGATCACAGGCTTTTCTAGCACTCCAGGCCTTATTGCTTTTTCTAGGTAAAGTCAGTTATAGCCCTCAGGTATAAACTGTTAAGACACAGATGTCAGTATGAGGAACCTGAAAGAGTACTTAAAGTCAACTGAAGCTGTTCCTCACTGTAATTATTTTAACTGAGGTTTATGTAATCTCAGGCCCCGATAGGTTTGGCCTAAAATTAAATTAGAAGAGTATAGTCTTTTAGAAATTTCTCACTGATTGAGGAAAATTTGTATTTACAAGTGCAATGTCCTGTGCAAAAGACTTGTTCAGAACTGAGAGCCACGACTGTGTTACTGTTTATCAATGAATCTGCACTTTGGTTTTAATAAGATGTGTGTGTAGATAGTGTGACTGTGTCCTTGGTTGGCTAGATGATGCTTGTATTCAAACCAAAACACTGAGACGGGGCTGTGCAAGAATATTACCTTTTCAAAAGGTACAGTTCAAGATCTGTTTAGTTACTACATAAAAACATTATTGGCTGTCTTGACCCTTTCTCCCTGCTTTTTCTTTCAGCATTTTTCATGGCCCATATGAAAACACTGCTTTACAGAAACTGCTCCCATCAGGAGCATCAGACTCTTGAAGGAGAACTATTCAAAAGAGTATTTTTGGGCAGCCAGTGTGGTCAAGGATTGGGACAATATAGCTATTATGGACAAACAACATGAGATGCCATCAGTTTGTTATCTAGATTTCAGATTCCTTAGAACAAAGAAAATCTCCTTGCTTTTTATCAGGTTAGACAGCAAAAGGGAGGAAAAGACCTTGTCCTCTCCTTGTTGCCTGGCTGAGCCATACATAGCACAAACATCCCCAGAGACAGCTCTGGGAAAATGCCAGGCTTATTGAATGCAAGTAATTACAATGTTTTTAAGGCACTGTCATCCTTCTCTGTCTTGGCCTTGTCTGTCTGGGGCTCTGTCTGATATCTAAGGGTAAGTAGTTTTACTTGACATAATCTGTACTTACTTCTGGGACAAGTGAGATTCAATGCATGTACATAAGTAATTCCTATGAAGCAGCTGAGGAGCAATAATGTGCCAACAGTTGCAGAGGAGGATAAAGGATAGTAATAAAAAGGCTATGCATGCAGGTGATGGCTTTTGGTTGTTTTGTTATTGTTTTGTTTTTTTGTAAAAGCATGGCAAGACATGAAAGGATGGACAAAACTTCTGAATACAGGGAGGCAGGCAGCCTGGTTTCCCACCCTGAGGGCATGGAAAGCACAGCCAATGCCAAAAGAGAATACAGAACTGGAGAGGAAAGCAGTTGCAGCCATTTGCTACAAAGCAGTGATGCTAAAGAAAATCTAAACAACGTAGCACTTCATCTCCTCTTCCACCCACCCTCTTTCCTGGAGCTGCATCAGAAACCTTCTTGGTTCCTCTCCCTGCTGATTCCAGACTGTTTAAGTGTCTTCCTTGGTTTTGGGTCTCTGTTCTGGATAATCTATTGCAAAGTGTAAGGAGGGAGGATGTACATGGGCAGTTGAGAGCAAGTAAATAAGCTACAAGTCCTTGGGGCATGATAGACCCAGTCAGCTTAACCATCAGAACCTCCTCCATGATAAAGAAATCCCAGCCCTCAGATATCCAAAACAGGCCAGAAGTAGTGCTGCATTGTCATTAAAATTCTCACACTGGGCGCTATTTCCAAAAGACCAAGGGCAACACATTGCTACAGCATGAATCATAAAGCTGGGAGAAGCCAGGATGGTGTGGACGTTTATCTTGCTTCCATTTGTTAAATTGGGAACTTGTGTTGTTAATAGTGGCAATTATATGGCTGGGAAAATCGTTGATGGCTCGGGATTGCCACAGAGATATTCTAATTGGATAAATCTCTGTAATTTGCACACAGGGTGTGTCTCTGTTAGTGTGTTCATTAGTTAGATCAGCTGGGTGCTTTTCAGGCAGCCCTCAGCTCTTGGCTGCTTGCTGAGCAGAGGTTCCTATCAGGAAGGGCACTGCAGGTCCTGTCCTGGATTCCCTTTGGATTGGACTAGCTGGGAGGTGAGTTGCAGCAGTAACACAGCAGTACTGCATGGGAGCAAGCTTCAGAGTTTATCTGAGCCTTATACAGACCTGAAGCAAGTGCCTATGTCAGGTGCCCAGCACAAAATGAGCTCCAGAAATGGACTTATATTGATCCAAACTGCTTGGTAGTGCAGCCATAACCACAGTTACCAGTGGTGAACAAACTTCATTGAGCTGTGGAAATGGGAGATTTCTGTGATAAAGTCAACTCTCAATGGTACTGAAAAAGAATCTCTCAATTTACATAACAGAGTTATATCTCCTGACTCAGTTACCCTCAGCCTATGTCTCTGCAAATGAAAGCTGGTTTTAGCCTGATGATTACAAACATACAAATGTTGGAAACTCATATATAAACATGAATGAAAGCTTCATTCATTCCAGCAAAGGTTTATGAATGCCGATGGAATCGGCAATTAGCAAAATTTTATGCATAAATATCACATAGCACAGTACCAGGGGAAGGCTCTCACATCCAGAGTTTAGGAGCTGGAGTTGCAACTAGAGTCAAAGGAGAAAAGAATTATCATTGAGTGAGAAAAGAGGGTGTAAAAGTCATATTAAGCATAGACCTCTTCAAAAGGAGAAGCCTGCATTTAATCTCACCCAACATTTTTTGTGGCAATTTAAATAAAACCACAATTATAAAACTACCAGCTAAATTCACAGCCTTCATGAAACTTCCATTTGAAGTCAGGTGAGAAACGAAGAAGAGACTTTCTCCCTCAGAGCCAGAGGAATGCAGAGGTTAGCACAGTGGCAGCCAAATTGTGTCATTTACAGTCTGACCCACATAAAGACAGCGTGGGCCAAATAGTAGAATGAATTGTCTTAAAAAAATTCGCATGCATTTAACAAGCCTGGCTCTTTCCCAGAGCTTTCTCTAGAGATGTTTTTGCTACATGTGGCTCAGCCAGGGAATAAGGACATGACAAGATCTCTTGCTCCATTTTGTAGTATAACTTGCTAATAAATAAGGAATTTTTCCTTTTTGTTAGAGATCTGAGATTGAAGAATTGATGTGAAAGAAGATGGGTTAATATAGCTGATTTGTACCACGTGTAATTACAGAATCACTCATGGGTGGTTTCTCCACCAACGCTTGCTGTGTCAGGCACCTTTTTAACAGAGCAGTCCAGCTTTTTCTGCTCTGTACCAGAGAGTTTGTTGTTAGCTTTCCCTGCAGGCTAGAGGAAGTAATCTGCTGAGTTCCCAAATTCACAAACTTTTAAACTTGGTGGTGGTATTCCCATGATATAAGCTGGAGTTGTCTTCAGCAAAGAGTTCAGTTCAGCAAGGACTGATGCCTTGTTGTGCAAAAATGTCTACCAGGACTTTTTCTTTTGGATGGCATGCCAAAGACATCATTATGGAAGTGGTCATCCAACCAGTCAAAAAAGTGGAAAATATTTGTGTTTAAGACATATCTTTTACAAGTGTGCATAAGCATGTGTGAGTTTATATTTGCTTGTGTCACTTTTTTTTTTGGTGGTGTTTTGAGTTGTAAAAGCGTCACATCCTGGGCTTGTGGCTGGACCTAATGTGGTTACTTTGTCTCTTCTACCACATCCTATTGAAATATCCTTTCTCTACCACTGCTGATGC